AGTACTTGGGGTGGGGAGGCCTTAGTTTGTGGGGGGATTTGGGGAGGGCCGCTCCATTTGGTGAGGGGATTTGGGGGTGCAGCCTTATTTTGGGGGGGATGTTGGGGGGGGGCAACCCCAGCTAGATGGGGGGATGCTGGGGAAGGGAAAGGGGGAGCCTTAATTTTGGGTGGGTGTTACGGAAGGGGGTAGTCTCAACTGGGGGTGCTGGGAGGGGGGAGCTTGCCTTCTGGAGGGCAGCACAGCAGGTGATCAGACCCCAGGGGTGCAGGCAGGTCTGACTGTCCTTTCTCCCCGGGCAGGTGGGAACAGGGAGAGCTCCAGTAGCCTTGGCCCGGGGTGCATAGCAGAAGGACCTCAGCCTGGCAGGAGGGCCTGTGAGGTAAGGGGAGGCATGGGGGGAGCTGGGGGCTGGGGTGGGGAGAAGGGCTGGGAACTTGCAGAGGCACCAGCTGCACGTGGGGGTCCATTCTGTGATGGGTGGGTGGGTACAGCACCCGTGGGGGTGCGTTCTGTGATGGGTGGGTGGGTACAGCACCCGTGTAACACTGGTTGTCCGCCCAGTGCAACAGGAGCCATGAGGCACTCGCTGCTCAGAGCTGCCGTTGTCTTTGCAAATGCTACAACACATAGCTGCTGCAGGTGGTTTAAATTCCCTCTGTGAGCCCTCTCAGCAGGGTTGTCTTTTCTCAGAGGTGTCCTTTCAGCATCCACGCTAATAATATTTTCTTTTACTGCTGTCAGTAGCTCAGCTCTTCTGAAACAACTGTTAACGGTGCTGCTTTGGCTGTAGCAAGAGCAGCACCTCCAAGGTGTGAATTCTTTCTCCCGGCCTTCCTAAGGTTTGCCCAGGTTAAGGAAAAGGATCGCAGTCTAATGAAGGCAACTCTTTGCAAGACTTCTGATCCAGTGTTCTGAGCAAAGTTAGACTCTTGAGTGTAATTATTCACAAATCCTACAGAATACAGGAACAATTGTAGTTGGTTTCTGTCTTGGGAGCGAGGCGCTGATAATTCAAAATTAGCATTTGCCAGCAGAGAGCTGCATGAAGAGCCGTGTGTGCTCCAGCAATAGGAAAATCAGTTACACCGTGAAAACAAACTCCAGCTGCCTACAGCGCTGTTTCTCTTCAGATTTCGGTCCCAAAGTCTGCCTGACGGAAAGCAGTGGTTAACATTCTGAATCGGGGCTCTCTGAGCTCTTCTTTAAAAATCAGCTCGCTGAAAATGGCTGTCACCAAGCAGTTCTCTTTAATTAATACCGAAAGGCAGCTCTATTTTCTGCGTTAAAAGCTTTCCTGACAGCTGCTAGGTAATTGAAGTTTGCTATGCATCTTCAAAGTCAGTGCTTCTCTAAGGATGGCAGATAAGTGTCTATTTTGGTTAATTAACCATGTTAACGACCATAGTTTCATTCAAAGCAAAGCACCTAGTCCTTTGCTTTTGTTCTACACGTCTTTTGCATGATGCTCCTTTCCTGGATCATGAGGCATTTTATTTCCTTTTCCTCCTGTTGTTGCTACTCTTCCATATTTTTTCCCCATTGTGGTTCCTGCCCTTCGTTTCTATTTTGCTTCTGTTTTCCAGTTCTTTGTTCCCTAAACCTTTTTGTGCTGTGTTTCTCTTCTTACCTGTCCTGTCAGCACTATTTCCCATTCATTCTTCTCAATTCACTCATCATTCTTCACCCATCCTCGTGGCTGGACTTCGACCATGCTCCAGAACTTTTCTGTTCTGCATTAACCCCTGGTTTTCATGTGTCTGATTAATGGCAACATTTTGATTTTGCATCAAGCTGTTTGGCTGTTAGAAAGTGTTTTTTCTCCTTTCTGTCACAAAGATTTCTGCCTGAAGCAAAGAGATTCCTTGCTCCTTTCCTTTGCGTCTGTCCCGTGACCACCCCAGGAGCTGTGAGGTCTCTGCTGGGGGGGTACAGATGTTGGGTATGTGCTTGGTTCTTGCCATCCGACTGATGATTTGTAGGATTTCATGATGGAAGCTGATGGCTCCGTCAAGCTCCAGTTTTCTATAGGGTACTCAGTGCCTTCCTGCTACCGGAGGTGCTGGAACCATCTGAGCTGTTGGTTCCCATACTATATCCAAGGTGCCTTCCTTGTTCACTTGGAAAAAGCTTTTTGTGGCACCTTATAAAGGCTCAGCCTTGGAGGGAGGAATTTAATGAATGGAAATAATGCTTGCCAGGAGTATTTTTTTTCTTGGTGGCTGTTTCAAGTCCCATTTTAACTCACAGCTTTATCCTATCAGCAGGTTAGAGTAAGCCGCCATCCTTTCCAGACTAGTTCCAGTTCATCTGCTGCCAAGACCTACCTGCAGCAGCAAGTCAGTTAGTTGTGCACAAAGCTTAACTTTGTTGGCTTAATTGAAGATGCTGCTCAAACTTTTCATGAGTTCTAATTGAAAACAGCACAGCGTAGAGCAATAAAAAACAGAACTTGAGCCTCCTGCCAACAATAGGCCCTGTCAAGAGCCACGGATCCAGATTGCGTGTCAGTGAAACACTGCACTGCCTTAGAGTAGTGTCCAAGGTACACGTGTGACCACAGACTAAAACATGGTTGGCTTTTCTTCCTTCTAGTTTTGTACCTTTTGATGCTGCTCATTTAACAGAGAGTAGAAGTTGGTCTTGATCTTGAAGACAGACCTGCTGCTAAGAATTCCAGTGCTCTGACTCATCTACCTCTTGCCTTGGGCAAGTCACCTAACAAAATTGTGAGGTTAAAAATACTATTTAAAATGTATCCTGGGATTACCTGGCGATATTGAAGTTGAGTTTTAAAAAGCAACTTAAGTAGCAAAGTGCTTTTCTCTTACTGGGTTTAGTGCTATGTCAAGGCTTCTTAATCTCAATGCTGTATTTTAAGTTAAAAAAAAGTCTTGGCTGTCATTAAGCTTTGGAAAAAATGTATTATAATGTTGCTGAAGCAGATAAATTTAAATTTCCCTAACACCTCCTCAAGGTACAGTGCCTTTTTACCTGTGTGAGAGGGGTGGGGGAGGGAATCTGTGTAATTTTAAATGTTTTCCGGTAAGGCTATGAGACTTAAGTGGGAACAAGATGCAGCCCTTCATTGTTGCATCCAAGTCCTTACAGGTGAGGATGGCCACACGAATGCCTGGCTTAGAAAGCGCATCTCTGTTCCACGGTATGCAAGCCATGAAACACTGACAAAGTTAAGGAGTAGTTAACACTTCATTCCCTAATTTGAAAAATTCCGGAGCTCAGTCTGTGAAACTTCAGCGCTGCCTCCTGTTGCACATGTATTGTGTAACTAAAAGGTGCTCTTTTCTGCCAGACCTGACTCAGTGTGCGAAAGGGCTGCCTTGGAGGCAAGTCAGGGCTGCGTGCTGAACGAGCGTGCTGTCTGTGCCTCTTCCAGCAGCCTGTGTGTGTACAGGGAGAGAGGTGAGGGGCTGCAGGGAGAGAAGGCAGGTTTGTGCCAAAGAAAGCTGCAGATCGTTGCAGCCAGATGTCCCCTAGGACACCAGCCTGTTCTAGCCTTTTTCATCCTGCTCCTAGATGATGCTAGGCATGTCTCCGAAGAGTGTTTTCTGTCCTTTCCAGGTACCTGGTGACCAAATGGCCAAACTTAGGTTTGCAAAAACTACCAGGTGTTCTCAGTTGTAGCTGAGTGCAGTGGGGTTCTGCTTGGGCTGCTGAGCATGATGCAAAGGTACTGCTACTGAAAACAAGACGATAAAGCCCTGGGCCTCTTATTTAGGGGATTTCTTCACTTTGTGTTTTTGGGAGACTGTCTCTAATACTGCTGGCTCACAGCACTGGCAGGGACATTGCAAGCCAACAGGGACTGGCTGGGGGCATGAGAATCCAGAAGGAACAACTGAAGGGAAAGTCTTGCTTGACCTGACTGATACCTGTGGGGACAGCAAGTGCCATCTGGCTCGCACCTGGGAGGATGGCATGTGCTTACTGCAGGTGGGATGGCTGGAAATTTTATCTGCCAAATCCTCAGTTTCTTCACTGAGAACGTGTGAGCTGCTTTTAAGGGGCTTTCCACTCAATGAGGCATGCACAAGTGATTCTAGAGACAGTCAAAGAAGCACTTTTGGCTGAAAGTACACCCTACAATTGCATTTGCTCCAAAGCCTCTCGATGGAAAGGCTGTACCAATTTCTTTAGCCTGGCAAAGCGAGGGTTTTGTAAGTCTTGTCTGAAACACTTAGTGACCTGTTCTGAACTAGTCTGCTTCAGACATGCAGAAAATGAAAATTTGACACACTTTGAGCAAATGAAGTCAGTTTTGTAATAGAAGGGGTTGTGTAGCTTTGACCAAAGGCAGCTTTGCCTGAACTGCCTGTAATTTTAAAGATACCTCTGAAGATAAAACACTGCTAAGTGAGAAGTATTATTATATACCTGGCTCTTGCCCCATCATCCTAAGCTACAAGTCAAACAATCTTATCTGTAGGTTAGAAGTTAATTTTTTGCTTTTATAACTGGTTTTGAAGACAGTAAGAAACTGACTGGGTTTTAAGGCACAAAAATTCCAAGCTCATGATGAGGGATGAAACCTGTGATTTCTGCTCTACCACTTATGTCAGTGTTGCTCAATTTGAAATACTTCCATGTCGTCATTTTTCTTAGGTTTTTCTGGTATTTATCTGTATATATGACTAAAGGAGAGTGGAAAGCAAAAAAAATCCTAAATAAACAAAAAAACCCAGACCATGCCCCCAAAAAAACACCTCAAAAAAACCTTGCAGGATTCCAGAGATTTGGGATAAACTGTGATTTGCAGATTATTCTTAGGCAGCGCTTGAGACGTGCACTTTAAGCTGGAGTTAAACTTGGCACCGTGCAAAGAATAAATCCGTTGGAGCTTGAAAGGAAGTTTGAGTGGCTAGAGCAAGTACTGTATCACTTCACAAAATTCTTACTGTGGTACTCTTGCTTTTCATAACGTTCAATTATTTCTTGTTTCTACAAATGAGTGACTACAAGTAATACTGACTAGCTCAGTGATAAGGCATTCTCCCATCTCAGATCACACTTCTGCGACGTTGCTGTTGCCCCTAAGGTGCTTGTTGGAATGCTGCACCTTCTTCCCTCGCTGTCCTCCTGGGCTCAAAGCCTTGGGGCTGCACAGAGCTACGGAATGGCTGGAGGACACTTTTTCATCTTGATCTTGCCTGTTGCAGGAGGAGTTGCTGTGGCAGTGAGTGAGAGGCTAGTCTAACTTTTGGATGGCTGCTGGAACAGAGTCTTGCCATCATGCAGCAAAAATGCTGTCTAGTCCTGTTCCATCATTAGTCTGACAGTTTTCTTTTAATTTCCATCTTCCTGGTTTTTTTTCCTGCTTCTGATTTTCCCTTTGCATATCATGGGTTTGTTTTGGGGCATTTGCATGCAGTTGCACATAAGATTGAAGCAAAAATCTGGTTCATTGGGTTTGGGGTATCTTTTCTATGCCTACTGGTGAACTCGGAGCAGCAGCCCTTGGAGACTGGCTGAACTGTGGCTCTCACCAAAATAATTCGGCATAAGAGGTGATGGAGGAACTGTAAGGGCCTTGTGTGCATTGCATCACTGCCTGCACAGAGAGAGGCACCAGGGAGGGTGTAAGGCCTGTTGCTGAAGGGAAACTTGCTGTTACTTGAATCCAGGGAAATACGCACCAAAAACGGGCTACCTGGATTTTGTGACTCCTTTTCAATTGGGCGGTCACTTATTGTGTTTCTTATCATTTCTGCTGATGGAAATTAATGGGAAGTTATTGCAACTGACGGATGCACTGGATTTTTATAATAGCTTTAATACTTGCCGGTGGAGGTGAATGTTTTGTACTTATCACCTTAGCCAGTGGTGAGTACGCGTTCGTATTTGTTTTCCCCCATCCCTCTGAAGATCATGATGTCGAATGCAGCAAGGCATCTAGTTCACTTGAACGCTTTTTCTTTGGTGCTGCTTATTTGCAAGAAATCGGAAAACAAATTTCCTGAATACAGCTGCCCTTGACAGCTTTTATATTTCTACTGGCCTCTTAAGGCTGACCTTTCGGATGTAATACGCTATGTTGTTCTACGTGCATGCGAAGTGTAACTTCTCAGGCACTTAGGCAATTAAAATCACTGCCATAAACTTGCTCTTAAAGCCAGTAACAATTTGTGCAAGCATTTATGAACTCAGCATCAACCTTTATATATTTAGTAAGAGTATAATTTGTTTCAGATTACATCCTGTTTAACTGCCCAGAGCTGCTCTCACCAGGAGGCAATTGCTGTCTTTTAATTTGGCTTTTAACTTTTCAGTAAAATCAAAACTTTGGTTGTGAGCAAGAGCCAGCTTCTTCAAATGTGTGGAGAAACAAAGAGTAGCCAGTAGGAAGCTCAAAATGTGACTCTTCTGCTGCTTGGGGCCCTGTCAAATGTTTAGATCATCCTCACGTTTATCAGTTAGCTAATACCTGTGCAGGGCTTTGAGGACTTGAAGTAGAGCATATTTGTTAGGTACTAACATATAGACTTGTACGGCTTCTGGGAGTGTTTTTAAATTTTATTATTTTTTTTTTAGCTCCGTCTCTGCAGACCTCCCATAGTATAACAAGCAGCATTTTCTGGAGCGTGACTTTTGCCTTGAGAGTTTGCTGCAAATACCAGCTAATAATATCTTCACTAGGGTGAAGGCAAGAGATGTTATCTCAGTGAGGACAGTGCATCTGCCCGTGTGCAAGACAAAAATACAACAGCCCTGGTCCTGGAAAGTTTATGAAGAAGCAGATGAGTAGCACGGCTAACAAAGTTGTCATGCCTTCCCGATTTCCAGGCGTGGGCTCGTAATACACAGAAGAGCATGTTCTCTGTGCTTACCCTTCTTCCGTATTTCAGCACTGAGATTGGCAATTCTGTCATTACCAAAATGTTTTGGGTTTCAGATGCTGTGAAGGCTTGGATTTGCTTTTGTTGTGTTTACAGCATGTGGCAGTCTGTGACTTAGTGTGCCTTCTGCCTGTCTCTTCTTGCTCTTTGATGGTAAATAACAACCTTTACTATGCAGAACCAGTCGAAGGACCGTAGCAGAGAAAAGTGATGGAGTAGGTCAGGAAAATGTTAAGTAGTGCAGAGCTGCCTAGTGTTAATAACTTTTATTTCAGGAAGGATTGCTGGATATGTTTGAAGGAGCTACCGGAGTCTTGTTCTTGTAGCATTTCTGCTCCAAAGTTCTTAAAAATAGCAGGTAAAAATCTGGTAATTTATGCTGTCTTTCTGTTGTACCAGCAGTAAATGTGCTTGCAGGGAGGTTGTAGGTAGGAGCAGCTGAAGTAAACATGGTACATGTTAAGATGAAGAAGTCCTGTTGATTTGTAATGCCATGGCTTTTTCTTTAGCCCTAAATATGCTTCCGTAAGCCTTGGGTTTGTCTTTAGCTTTTCATTTCTGTCTGATGGCTGCACAAGCTTGTTCCTGTACAGACTTTTGGGTTTGGAGGAGGAGGTGGCATATACTGAAACAGTGAATTTAGTCCCCTGGTAAGGTGCCACCTTGAGAGGAGCCAATGCCTCTGTTGAACTGTTCCACTGGTACAACCAGGTAACTGCAGTGGGTGCTTTTATCTCTCTGAGCGTTGGCTGCCTCAGTGCTGGAAAACCTGCGGAGACACCTTTCTCAGCTTGGGCTTTTCTGAGGCAGCCCAGCACTGTCGGTCATTTCTGAGGGGGTGTCGTGGTTTAACCCCAGCTAGCAAGTAAGCACCACACAGCCACTCACTCACTTCCCCCCCACCCAGTGCGATGGGGAGGAGAATCGGGGAAAAAAAGTAAAACTCTTGGGTTGAGATAAGAACAGTTAATAGAACAGAAAAGGAAGAAAATAATAATGTTAATAATAAAATGACAATAATAATAAAAGGATTGGAATATATAAAACAAGTGATGCACAATGCAGTTGCTCACCACTCGCTGACCGATGCCCAGTTAGTTCCCGAGCAGTGATCTGCTCCCCACCCCTGGCCAACTCCCCCCAGTTTATATACTGTGCCTGATGTCACCTAGTATGGAATACCCCTTTGGCCTGTTTGGGTCAGCTGTCCTGGCTGTGTCCCCCCCCAGCTTCTTGTGCCCCTCTAGCCTTCTTGCTGGCTGGGCATGAGAAGCTGAAAAATCCTTGACTTAGTCTAAACACTACTTAGCAACAACTGAAAACATCAGTGTGTTACCAACATTCTTCTCATACTAAATCCAAAACACGACACTATACCAGGTACTAGGAAGAAAATTAACTCTATCCCAGCCAAAACCAGGACAGGGGGTTGAGGAAGGAGTTGCCGTCATTGTTTATAGGGCTAAGGATGTGCTGCAGCAAGAGACCACAGCCAAAGGGTAAGAGTTTTCAGTCACAAAGAGCTTTTGTCTAGATGTGAATCAGTAATCTTCCTAGTAAGAGACAGCTCAACCAGCTCCTTGGGTCAGACAGTTCTATAATTCGCAGGGGGTTTGTTTTCTAAAATAGATAGATGTATGGGTTGGGGTTTTTTTCCTGATTTACATCTTGTCCCTTTCTGTTGCGTTTATTATGCTTATTCTAAGCAGACATCTAATTTTTAACTTATTCATACCAAGCACATGTTCATACTGAGCTTTTAGCAAAAGTGCATGATGCCGACAGTTATGAAGTTGATCTGCTGCTTTGAAGCAATTTTGAATCTTTACTGTATAAAGTGGGTAGAGATTAGATGGCAATTGATGCACTGTCTAAATTAAACCTGATTAAAAATCCAAGAGTTTTCAGGAATGCATGCTGTCCTTGCTTTCATATTTATTCTGGATGCAGTGTAACAAGTACTGTAAATATATAGGCTGTTTTTCCAGAATCACTGTAAGTTGTGCTCCCATGCCTCTTCAGGAATCCGTGCAGTTTGTGGTGCCGTGTGCTTATAGTTGTAAAATACACCTGAAAACCTGGCCCTATGTTCTGAAGCTCACTCACTTGTTTACGGAAGAAATGCCACTGCTGATTGTGCCTGGGCTGAGGCCTGCCTTGGGATCTCTAATGGTGATTTGGTGGGAGTGCTCGTGCAGCCTCACCTATTAGAGCTTGTAGATGAAATTCCAACCTCGAGCTCCATTGTTGTATGTGAAGGGTAGCACACTCTTATCTAGTCTGGGACAATATTGGAATCAGTTCTTTGTGCGGTTTAAACTCCATATTTTCTTTTTGAAGGTACTGTGATAAACCACGTTCATGAATTCAAGCAGCCTTTTCATCTTTAGGAGGTAAAATAGAAGAGTACAAATTCTGCAAGGTGAGCCTTTCTTCATTTCCCAGCTTGTTTCCCCATAACAAGTGTTGTTTTCTACCCTCTGCAGACTATTGGGTACTGATGGACGTTTCCGACAGCCCTGAGCGAAACCCCTGCTCTCCTGATGAAGAGGACCAGCATCTTTCCGATGATGAAGTCCTGAAGGAGAGTGGTTCAGACCGGGAACTTGATGGAGAGGGTGGGCAAGGCAGCGTCCTGGGAGAGGAGGAGGAGGATGCAGCCAGGGGACTGAGTCATGGTGAAGAAGAGAACCACTCGGATGAAGAGGATCGCTTAAGCGAAACCAAGTCTCAGGAGTCTGACAACAATGAGCAGAGTGGGGAGCTGAAGAGCCCTCCACCTCGCAAAGGAGAGGAGGAAGACCGGACAAATGACCTTGGTGATGAAGCATCCTCTGTCACCCGCGAACTAGATGAGCACGAGTTGGACTATGATGAGGAAGTTCCTGAGGAACCAAGTGCTGCTGCTGCAGAGGAGGATGGTGAGAAAGCTGCTGGTGAGGATGATGAGGAAGAGGAGAAAGGAGATGATGCCCATGAAGATGAGAAAAAATCCAGCAGTAAAAGTGACGATGAAAAGGATGGCCAGGATCCCCTCAAGGAGAAGAAGAAAGAAGAAGATGATGGAGAAATTGATGATGGAGAAATTGATGTAAGTAGGAGCTGGTCCAAGGTGGGCAGAGTCCTGCAGGGAGAGAGACCTATCCTCATGTTTCAGAACTGTTTGGCTCTTAGACTGCCATGCCTTCCTCCTCCTTTGATGTAAATATCTGTTAGCTGTGTCCCCAGTGTGCAAGTAACATACTTTTTTCTTTGGGGGTAAGACCATACTATGTACCAAGTCCTAAACTCAGTGGGTAAGATGTCTAGTGCCACGTGCTGTGGAAAAGCTTTGTGTCGAATATTGTTAAGAGCCATCACAAATAAGCTTTTTTCCCACTGAATATGGAAGGGCTCCAGTGCTTTAAGAAACTATTCTGCCTCAGCTCTCAGACGACTTTTGAATGATGCTGACAGTAAATTATTTAGCCATGGATTAGGCTGTCTCATCAGTGTAGGTTGAGAGGCTGGTGCTGTAGAGTGGCTGCCGTGTGCTTGAGGCATCAGGCATGTGCGGGAAGCCCTGAGCTGTTTGTTGGGCTCTAGCAGCATCTGGGTGCATGGAAGAGGAAAAGAAGGTGCTAGGCTTTCTGAAAAGTGCCTAACCAGGCAGCCCCTGCACATGGTTTGGGTGATGTGTTCAGGGATGTGCAGTCCCAGTAGCTACTGTTTCACAGCTGGGAACAAATGCAGCTATTTAGGAAAAAACAAAAACTGGTTTTAATTGCATTAGTGATTAGGGCAAATAGCACTCTCTATCCATGTTTGTCTTTAGGTAGGAAGCGCTCCAGTACAGCAGTTGTATTTAATACAGCTTAATACCAGTTTCTCTCTTGCAGGCAGAAGAAAACATGACAAAGCGATTCTAGCAGTAGAGTAGAAACCCTCCTGTGGGTTCCTGGTCTGGTGGACACCTTACTTGAATCCAAATAGTGGGAGTGCAAAGTACTGCAAAGAGAAGTCACCAGTCCAGAGTACCTCGCTGGCTCTGCTCCTCACTGTCCATGGCAAAAAGTGCTCCTGCACAGCTAGACTAGGTTGGGGCAGTGTCGTGAGAATGTCCTGGTGACTAGCCAAGGAAGCAATGGACTGTGGATGGGGTCACTGGTGGGGCTTCTCAGCCAAGGAGGGGAGGGTTCAGACTTGGGAGATGGTGTTGCCTTCCAGCGCCCATTGCTGTGTAGCTGACGTGGCCACATGCTCGGGAAGCTCGCAGAGCCTCGCTGGAGAGACCCTCCTCTCTTTTTATTGAAGAGTGGTATATTGTGTGTTTTTTACTGTAGTGGTTTTTTATTCTAATGGTGCTTTGGCAACTTCTGTTGCTTAAAAAAAGGTGATGTTGTTTTTCTTCTTCATGCCCATTCTGGCAGGTGATTTTGTTAAACACGTATTTTCCAAAAGTTTTGTGTATTTCTGATTCAGTTAGAAGGAATTTCAGCGTGTTGTGGGAGAGTCCAGGCAGGGGGAAAAAAATTCCTAGAGTCCTGACTCCGTGCCTGCTTCTTGATTAAAATATGAATGCTTTCCTTAAGAGTCTAAGACATTCTTGGGAGCACTCTCCTTACAAAGCACAAGATGAATCTGTACTCTGGTTTTCATACATTAACTCATAACAGGATTCCCAGCTGCCTGATTCCAAGGAGACCTCACAGAAATAAATACTTTCCCTTTTGTTCAAGTACAGCATTTGCAAAGACTTCACACAGTTCTTTTGAAAGAAGCAGACTTGAGCTGGTTATACCATTCACACGTCATTGAATGCCATCCCCAGCTTTGGGGGAAACTGTTAAATCTCTCCATTTTATTCTGCTTTCAGAGTTCTGTCTTGGGGGGGGTGTGGAATATTAATGCAAATTTTAGTTTGAATATATGTGTAGTCTTCAAAATCCACTCTTGCTCAGGAGAGCTCTCCTTGTATTGCCCTCAGAGGAATGCAGCAGAAGAGGCTGTTAACCCATCTCTCTGTACATCCTTTGTTTGTCTACAGCTGAGTGATGGTTTTTCCTCCTTTCCAGCTGCTAAACTGATCAAAGTACATAACTTTCTTAATCTTTTCCATGTAGACAACTGCTGTCGCTGCCACAGGGTTGCTGTGATTGCCACGCAAAGGGAAGGCTTCCACCAGATGCTCCCTCTTCAGATGCGTTTCATATGCTGAAAACTTCTGTGGTGGTGAAACGGAGGCAGACCGAGGGAAGGCCAGAGTGCCTTTTAGGATAAATAACTGATTTCCTTGTCAGATACCTTTGACAGCTCTCTGCTCACGTATGCCTTTGCCTTCTGCATTGCCAGCTCTTTTTGGCTCCTTTTGACTTTTCAGGTGCAGCCTAATGAAGCTGGGAAAGGGTTTTTTTTTTCCTTGGAGAACAAAGGCAAAGGCTGGTACTTTAAAGTTTCAACAACTTTCTTCTGGGGGTGTTTCATGACTGTTATTTCACGTTCATCCCCTGTGGTTCATAATCTTTGAAGCAACCTCCATCTCCCAGAATTTCTTCCTAGGGCTGCTGTGCCTGGAGATGAAGTAGAGTTTTGTTCGAGCTGATTCACAACTCCTATGTGGAGCTGAGGAGTAGAAGGGAAGGTGTCAAGTTGTTGCCAGAGAGGACTGGAAAAAATATGTATGACTTTTTTGCTGAAAAGCTTGTGTGCCAGATTGTCGCTCAGCGTTGTCGGGAAGCATTTTGTAATTAGTTATTGTAATAGCAGTCGTCCTTCAGAACTTGATGTATAGGTGTGTGATGTCTGTGTTGGCTTACTGCATTAACACAGGAATACCACTATGTATTTTAAATCAGTGAACAGAAGGAATTGGCTTGAGCTAAATAGGGATGACATGAGTGCTGAGCGGGGGACAGGCCAGTTTAAAGGCTCTGAAGGCTAGTGAGTGGTATTATCCATGCCAGTGGAGCTGTGGTAGCTGCCAGTGTGCGTGCTGTTAGCCTGCGGGATGGAAAGGTAACGTGGTAGAGCTCATTTGCCTCAAAAGAGCATGAAGCGGCTTCGAACTGCCTTGCGTGTACTGCCAGCTAAAAGTGCACAGCCAACCTAGTTCAGCTGAGGTATAAGATCTTAATCCACTGGACTGTCGATTTTGAGCCTTTGAGCATATATCGGGTAAAATGATGCAGCTTGAAACCTTGGTCTGTGGTGTTGGCACCAAGATGCCTGTAACACCTGAAGGGTTTTGCAGTCACCTTTGAAACACTGAAGTTGATGCAGCTTCCTGTTTGTAGCAGCATGTTGCAAAGATGCTATAGGGTATTTATTGTAACTTTATATTGCTTTTCTCTTGTGTTTTGCTCCAGGGTGTGTTTTCAGTGACTGATATTTGACCATATTGTGAAATGTCAAGTCGCTGCAGAAAATGCACCACGTGAAATGTCAGCTTGTCTGTCTGTTCCAGGATGATGACTTGGAAGAAGGAGAAGTTAAAGACCCCAGTGACAGAAAAGTGAGGCCACGTCCCACCTGCCGATTTTTCATGAAAGGTAATGACATGCTGTAATGATGGAAGAAAACCGAAGATGCTGTAATTTTTCTTGTTCGGTTTTGTACCCGTTAAGCTGCTGTCTACATGATAAACTGTGCCTCAGGCATCCTCAGTATCACCTTTCTGTTCCTTGGTGGCCAGACGCTGAGTTTACATAGAGCCAGTATGCAAAAATTGCTTTGTACTAAGTATGGTGAGCCCAGTAGAAGCAAATAAAGGAAAACTTGCTAGTGTTTTTAAAACAGCATGGAATAAAACTGCTTGGGCTGATTTAACAACTATTACTTAGAGGTTATTCTGTGGAAAACAAAAATGGCAAATACTTGCATACAATACGTAGTTATTTCTTGCAATCCCATATCCATCTCGCTTCCCCAGTTATTAAAAGATATTTGATAAAATTCTAAAATCAAAATAGGGCCAGAAATACTGTTTCCTGGTAAGAAATGTTGATGCGACATCGTGTTGACATCCACCAAGCTGCTGCAGCCCCTGCAAATGCATCTGTTGACCAGGTTCCTGTGTTGCCTGCATAGTGGTGTCAGGTGTTGGCAGCTCACGTACAGCTGTTTTCACAAGCAACCCAGAAACCCCAGCGAGACGGCGCGCTCAAGGGGTGACGTTGGACCTGACAGGGTGAAATGTGCCAATGGCCAGTACTTTCACTGGGCTGAGGAAATAGTCAGCTGGAATAAAAAATAATTCTCATGTAAATAGAAGCTTTTTCCTCAAGTTGGAAGATTGCTCCGCACTCTATCAGAGACCACATTTCTGAAATATGATTGGGATTGTCAGCCTCGATTGGAAGGAATGGGGGTAGGAAATTGTTAAAATGTATTTCTTAACTGCTAATGAGACCCAAGACTTGAAACTTTTAAATCTAACCAGTTGTATTTTTTTTAATTCTTCTTAATAGGACATTCCCCAAAGTTTGTGCAACTGCACAATAGCTATCTTAGACTATTCTGCATTTTTTTTTTTAGTGTAGAGGGTAGATTTTGTAGAAGTTTTCTTATTTAAACTGATTATAGCTCTTTTCCACTTGCTTCAGCTTCATTTCACTTAATGTTTGCTCATTTACTTGGTTTTATTTACAATCACCCTTGAAACAATTTATGAAAATCTGAAATTAAAAGAAGGGTGGAGAACCGGGTGGAGTCTCTTACTCCTTGCGTCAGTGGTGTATGCAACGTAGGGAACTACTTAGGGGGTTTCCAGAGACGTGACCATCAGATATCACATACTTGGCTTCCTGAATGTCTTCCGCTATCAAATTTTCTGCCTGTGCTGAGACACGAATGTGTTGGTGATGATGGTGGAACAGGGAAGTCCCTCAGCAAAGAGAGGTGTTTGTTCCTGAATCCTTAGCGTGACGTGACGTGCGCCTCTGTGCAGCATGGAACTATTTGCCCAAGTCAAAGTTCAGACTGCAGGATCTCCTGCCGCAGTTGTTTTTCTTTGATTTGGCGTGGGTTCAGGTAACGTTGACATCCACTCTTGCTCACCCCTTAAAGGTTTTATTGCCACCAGGGAGATCAGGCACGACTCGCATGGGACCTTGGAGAGACTCAGTTTTTTGTCCGTGCTGTGTCTGAGGAGCACTCACGTGGCTGCATCTGTCCAGTGGCATGAATGTCTAGCTTGCAAAGCCTTCCAGTGAAGTAGCTTGCTGTGTAGCTGCCTTGACATATATAGCAGGGCCCCTACTTGTCAGGGTAGTCATTTCCCTTGACACCTCAGTAGGAATAGTATTTGTGTAGGTGTCTGGCAGCCCCTACACCCAGTGCTCAGGCATTGAGGAAGGATGCGTTGCTCCATGAGCTGCTTGCAAAGGGATTTGTGCTCTTATTACATTTGACAGTACAAAAGCATCCATCCAGTGTTACCTCTGACTCTGAACACCAGCTAGTGGTTAATATGGGACCGATGAGGAGCATTTCCCAGGACCCAGGTGCGGTGTGAATTTCTGACATGTTGCCCAGCCAGCTGAGATCAGGGATTCTTCCTTAGGCCACAGCATCATTGACTGTTCCATTGTCTCTAAAGTCAAGGTGCTAATGCCTGAGCTAGCACAGAATTAGTGATGACTTTGTGATGCAGGTGTCTGCTGGGAAATCTGCAAAATGTCTGTTGACTGATGTTGAGTGGAGTGCCAGAAGAAAAAAAAAGGGTTTTGTTTCTATGGCAAGCTAAATTTAAGTTGGGAGTTAGCTTTGTATCCTGTTAGAGACCCTGAGTGTTACCATCTCTTTGGGGATGGTACCTGACACTAATGAGCAGCTTCAGATTTGCTGCTCTCTATAGCGATGTCTCCTTTCCTGCTTTGTGCTGGCAAGTCTGTGGAGTCGGTTGGAGAGAAAAGCTTTGATGTACTTTGTGCCTCGCCAGAATGCACTGTGATACTTCTGTTGCTGTCCGTTTATATTCATTGTTTTCTCTGAAAGGTAGAGCTCCTAACTTGAGGTCTTTGTCATTAATAAGACTTGAAAAGCTCACAGGCTTATTACTGCATTTGCTTAATGGTGTGTGTGCATCCATCCCTCCCTTCTCACTGTAATAAGGGTCTTGTACTTTCATCCGTCTGTGACTATGAATCTATTCGTCCTCTCTGGGAAGGTGGGGCGTGGTGGGTGTTTTTCCATGTGTATGAAAACGGGTAAACTGCAACAAAGTTGGAGAGAGGAACTCATATGTCTCAAACAGCATTATTCCTTGATGGGTTTTAAATGGTTGTGGGGCTGAACAAATGCTTGCTCTAGGCATACAGGGATCTAACAGAACTGTATTTCCACAGGTCACTGTACTTGGGGCATGAACTGCCGATTTATTCACCCTGGCGTGAATGACAAAGGAAACTACTCCTTGATCTCCAAGCCTGAGCCCTTCTCCCCAAATGGTGCTCCTCCTATCGGCCCCCACCCATTGATGCCAGCCAACCCTTGGGTATGGACATCCTTTCTGTGAATTTATGGCTTCTGCACATAGCTTTTGTCTCCTGCTCTAGGAGAAGTGAAGATTTTCTTTTTTTTGAGGTTGTACTTCAGCAAAATTGAATATATCAGTTGGATGTGTGATTTTTAAAAGGTGATCTTGAAGTTGCTAGTAGAGGGGAATAATTTTCCACGGGTGTCCCAGCTTATGTCCTGCTGATACATCTCTGGAGTATCTGGAGGTACTCTGGGGTAACTGTTTACAAAGCATGAGTTTGCTACTTAAAAACTGATGTCAAGTGTCTGTCTCCTTCCTCTTCTCACCTTTCTAACAGGGAGGGCCAGTTGTTGATGAAATCTTACCTCCACCTCCTCCAGACCCTCCAACAGAAAGTGCCTGGGAGAGAGGACTCCGGCATGCTAAAGAGGTAAATGCCATCCTCGGAAAGTGTGCTGACCGTCTCCAAAATCCGCTGGCCTGTTTTATCAGGAGCAGGATGCTAGAATAGCTCTTCTTGGAGCATGTAGTGTCTTGTTCTTTCTAAGGGGCCTTCCTTTTGCATTTTAACCTATTAACTGTGTCTTGTTGTATACCACAGTTGTTATGCAGTCAAGAGGAGCTGACATCCAGGTTTGATTTTTTTATATTAACATGAGCTAGAGGGAGTTTGTGGCCCTGAAGTCAAGCCCTCTGAAAAGCAAAACTTTTAAAGCTGATCCAATTTCCCTTCAGTACCTGTTTCTCTAGCACATATAGGGTCCATGTGTCTGATCATTGCAGAAAATGGGGTCAGCATGTGTGAAACTTCTACCGCCTGTCTGCTGCTGTTCTGCGCTGATGGAATAGTGAATTACACTTTCTATGTCAGGAAAAGTCCAGTGTCCTGCACATTCATGAGACTTGGGCAGAAGAAGGGTGCTTTAGTTGAAGGGCAGGTTTCTCCCAACAGAGGGGGTTTTAATACTGCCATTTCTCTGTGCCTCAGAAATGGTCTCTCTTTACAATGTTTTTATATTATGGCAGGTATTAAAAAAGGCAACTATGAGAAAAGAACAGGAGCCTGACTTTGAGGAGAAGAGATTCACTGTGACTATTGGAGAAGACGAGCGTGAATTTGACAAAGAAAACGAGTTTTTCCGCGACTGGAATTACCGCATCACCAGAGACGTCAGAGATCCAGCGTAAGATGCAGTCTTGGTTTTGCTACATGGAATAGATGGGTGGGAAATGTAGTGCTACTAGTATGGCAGTCTTCAGTTAACTTGTTCCTCCAAACTGGAGGAATGCCCACCTCAGAAAATGGAAATGGCTTCCATTAAGCAGTATGTACACCTGTTAGAAACTTGAGCTGCTTCCGCTCACTTGAGTTCAACACTACCTTCCTTTACAGTCGTCTTTAAACCTTTCTGCCTTCAGTGTTGTTGGCCTGCTGGTCCCTTGAGGACACTCTTTAGTTGTCCATTGCTTATCTCACACCTGCATTCTTCCGACTTTTTTTCCTCTTGCTTTTCTTATTCCAACCCATGAGAGTTTTAAAATGCTAAAGCTGGGGCTGCAAAGTTGGAGTATGCTCAATGTGCAGGAGCTTCAGGGCAGCAGTTGTACTGTCTCAACCAGCTGGGTGTTTGTTTGCAAGGGCATTGGCACAGCAGCTGGTCTTAAACATCTTGACCGGTCCCAGATAAACAGTTTGGTAACACACTGGTCAGAAAGCAAACCTCTTAGCTGCCAGGGCGCAGCCTGGGCCAAAACAAACACCCTAAACTTAAGCATTTAGGTGATTGGTATTTTTTAAGGAGGTAAAACAAAATGTTGGCGATCTCAGACACACTCCTGTCATGACTGAGAGCCGGCAGAAGAAGGTGCAGGGATGAATCAGTCAGCTCTGGGAAACTTGTGTAGTAGTTCTCGAGCCAAGAAATGGAATGGAAAAAGAATTTTTGAGAGAGGAGCTTGTATCCTGCAGGAGTACAGGTGAATCTCTGTTTCTCTCTTGCTCACACATCCTCTGTTCTTCCTACATGTACAGATTATGGATTATTTCTACTTGCTCACTAAGAAGGTGTTTACAACACTTGGTTCTGTATATTTGAGAGTGAATGAATTGCAAAAAAAACCTCTGAAAAGGAGTAAGGAGTAGGTTAAGTTTTTATTCAATAATCTTTGGTTTCCTCTGGAATGCAATTTCTTTCCCCACTTTAAAAAAGAAGCTATGTACTCAGTTCTGCAGACTGTAACAAAACAGTTGCCCCATATTAATTTTTTCCTGTGTCAAAATTGGTCTGTATCTTAGCCTTCTCTTCCCCTGAGAAGGCTTTCACTTGCCCTTGGGTCATATTATCACCAGTGCTCTGTGGGTTGACCATATAGTACCTTTATTTTATGATTGTATATGAAAACTAGCATCAGCGTTCTCGTCATTTTATGCCACTGCCTCGCTGATGTAAGAATTGTTGTTAGGTACAGGACTTCCTGTTTTTTCATGTAGTCAAGGAAAAAATGTATTGCATCTAGCCAGTGTTAAATAGAAGCCAAACAAATGGAATTCCTGAAAATTCAAGCACCTTAATGTATAACCAGACTGTGGCATTAAAATATCTTCATTGTGTGTAAAGGCAAAAGTTATGAAGCTGCTGCTGCTGTAAACTCTAGAAAATGGTGATTTTGCTCACAAACACAGACTTATTGCACAGATTGACACCTTGCAGCAAACTAACCACTGGTGGTGCAGCTGTGATGTTAATAAATGCTTTCAGGACTGTCTTGTGACATATGAAGATGTCTAAATAGTTCATGAATCCCTTTTTCTTTTTTGAAAAACTATAGGGAGGTGGACATCAAAGAAAACATTAACTATGGGTAAGCAGGTCTTTGATTCCAGTACTGTTGCAACTGTAAGAAAATACTCCCTTTCCTTTCTCCATTGCACTTTTAAAAACTTCCTAGGCCACAGACCGCTGTCCCATCAGGTGTGGTGGGCAATTTATTAACTGAATGGATGTATTTGATTTTTTCGTAATACCAATTATTCACCTAAGGATTTAAGCACTGCATTATCTAAATGCACAGCAGTGAAATGAATAAAAAGTCCACAAATGTTATAGGAAGGGAATGGGGAGATTTGGGCTTGAGGCTGGATTGAAAAGTAAAGCATTTCCTTTTTTGGTGTAGCTTGAGATTTTTTGTGTCTCTTTGAACACCTGATGTCATTGAATCCAGACTGTTGTCTGGTTGGCATCAGGAGTTTGTTGCTGAATTAAGCATCTGTATTCAAGATTTCCTGGTACTCTTTCCCTTGGTGTATTGTTTCAGACAAAAAGAGAAATCTTAAACCATTTAAAAGCACTGAAAGAAATACAGGTAGCCGCTTGACTTGCAGGGCAGCACTTAAATCTTAGCCTGTTTTAGATTATATGGCACTTTTTAAAATGCAAAAGTGGGCCCTTTATTCCCCTTACATACAAGTCGGTCTCATTACAGATAATCTGGAATTTGGGAGCACTTGCTTTATAATCTTAGTCCTGCCACTGACTCCTCTGTGGCCCTGGAAGTTTCTTGTTTTCCTGTACCCACTTCCCCATCTCTACAATGGATCTGATATTTTCACTTCAGGTGGCTGGCAGGGATTTGATATTGTTGAGTATGTGAATTAAAAACAGCAAATAATGTTAATAGAAATCATCAAATGGAGAAAACATTGCAGATTCAAGGAGGGTTGGTTTTAAATCCTTTTCCTCCCCAAAAGTAACTACAGTTTTGCAGTTGCACAAGGTGCACCACGCACTTGCCAGGTCACTTGTATGCTGGGGGGGCCAGCACCTGTTTTCCACTGGAGAATATCAGCTGCAGATGCGGTTACCTTCATTGCATGGAGTAATTCCAGGCGTAGGGGCAGAGCATTGCTGGCCTGCCCCCCAAGCTTAGCTTCTCCCAGTGGAAAGCTCAGCAACAACTCATGTCCTGTGCTGGCAGCACTGGTATGCACCCATCACCTCCGGTGGCAGGGGCGTAGATCACCATCCATTCCACTTCTGATGGGAGGGTGCTTAAGATTAGCTCTGTGTGCATGGACAGAAAATGCAGCTCTAAATCAATGAGGCAAAACATGTTCTGTTACATTTGCATACATTTGAAGTGACTATAAAAAGCAATTGGTGTTTCTGCATTTTTGCCGCATTGATTTGAAGGCTGAATTTGGTTCATAGTGTTCTTTTTTTGTGTTTATCAAGAAAGGTTTGTGCTTTTCTCTGATAAGCTTCACTTAAAAAAGACTGTCTGTTTGGGATATGTAGAAAATAAGCCACTTTGTATGGTCATACGCCATTGAACATGTTTTTTCTTGTCAGTGCAGAGTGACTAAGACCTGACCTAGAATAAGTAGTGTTTCTGTATGGCGACAAGGTGATATTTCCCTTTCTAACCTTCCCTGTTTTTCATTGTAGGCTTGATCCCTATACAGATCCCTATTATGACTATGAAATAGAACGGTTCTGGCGTGGTGGGCAGTATGAGAATTTCAGGGTTCAGTATACAGACCCAGATCCATACCGTAACTACAGAGTAAGTAAGGTAATACCCCTTTCTGCACTTTTACTTTCAACTTTCTTCCAGGTACTTCTGGTGCTTGTCATGTTTCCAGTGCAGTGGTTGAAACAGGGCTTTTCATGTATGTTCAAGATGCTTAATCTTCCAAATAGTTAAATCTTTACTTAATTATTACACAGAACACACTGTAGGTGCAAGGATGGGAGGATATTCTGTTTCAGCATGATGAAGGCAAAAGCATGTCCGAGATGGGAAGATGGTTCTTTTCCATGTGCACTGACGGCTCCTCTGCATACCAGGCAGTTGTGCAGTGCTTACGGCTGCATCTGCAGCCATTCTTGGAAGTGTTGGAGAGGGAAGGAGTTTCCAGGAAATAATCTGACTGAGGAACGGTTTGCTTGTTAATTAGTGGGGCAGACTGAAAGGATTAGATCTGGACAGGCATGCTTTGTGTACAGACAGAGGCCCCAGCGTGACTGTCTACCGCTGGTGGAGTTGCGTATTAGTTGAGTCAGATGAGGAAAGCACCCAGCCAGTTGCTAACATCCCAGATGCAGTTTGTTGGTGTTGCACTCCTATAAGGTGTAGAGCTCAATGAAAATAAGGCTATGAACAGTTTCCCTCTGCTTTCTTTTGCCCTCATGCAAACTGTTGTGCCTCGAGAGTAGTGGCAAAAATAATAAATCCTGCTCAGTGGGGAGCTTTTCAGTGGTATTTGTCACATCCTTTAAAAAGTGGCTTTCCTTTTGCTGTAAGACTGTACTGTTCTACAGCAGCAGTGCACAAACAGGAGCCTGTCCTCGCTACTGCTGTGCATGATGCACCATCAGTTGTTCATGGTGCTTATTTGTAAAGTTAATTAGCTCGTTATAAACATGATTAGCAATGAGAGTAAATACTTGTAAACATCAATACATTTATTTAATAAGCATAATAAGCCAAATTAATCTTTGACTGTTGCCTTTGAAAACGACAACTGTGATGACTATGATGTGGTGGTTTGTTCCCTTCCACTTTCTGCATGCTCAGCAAACAGTGATGGCCAGCAAGCTCCAGATTATTTATCTCAATACTTTGCTCTAACATGGGAGGATGTATGTAACTGCTTGCAGTCCAAGACTTTGAAACCTTGCTGCCTCCTTTGTTAGGAGATGTTACCGCAGTGTCACGATGATTTCTCTTTTCTTTTTAAAGGAAAGAGAGCGAGAACGGGAAAGGGAAAGAGAGAACAGACAACGAGAAAGGGAACGCGAGAGGGAGCGAGAACGCGAGCGAGAGCGGCGCCAGCGGGAGCGAGAACGAGAAAGGGAACGGGAGCGTGACAAGGAGCGCCAGCGGCGGAAAGAAGAGTGGGAACGTGAGAGAGAACGAGTGAAGAGAGATGAAAAAGACAGGCAGCACAGGGACCGGGACAGGGACCGAGACCGGGACAGGGACCGGGAACGTGAAAAGGAGAAAGAAAAACCAAAGCCCCGGTCCCCGCTGCTACCAAGGTAAGTGTTTGCTGGAATTCAGACTTGACATTTTAGTTGATATTTTAGCTGTGGATCACGAACCAGGCTCGCACTGATCAGACTGGAGAACATCACTATTGTCCACAACTCTTGAGTAAAGCAGTAGTTTCAAGAGGAAGGTGGCGACGCTTTAAATGAGCCTTGCTGACCACTAAGTGGAGCTAAAACATCAGTAAGAACCGAGTGTGCATAGCCTGACTGTGAAGGAAGGAGAGTGTCTGTCCTCTGGCGTGTAGGTATGGAGATATTCAGCTTTTCCCTGTTCCCTTGAGGCTAGAGTACGCCTTGGGAGGCTGGCTGAGTCCCCAGTGCCGAGAGGGTCCTGCAGATGGTGGCGACTCCCATTGTGGCCTTGACAAATGTCCTTTGACAAGAATCAGGGCTGGTTTGGGAGTTTGTGGATAGTAAAAGTATCTGGAGATACTAAAAGAGGCTAGAAAAGGTAAAGGGATTGTATGCCTTGAAATAAGTCTTTGCTAGGTGTTAACGGTGGAATTGCAGTGGGGAGTCAGGTTTCTTGACTCTGCCCAGTTTTTCTGAAAATCCTGGTTCTGACCTTTGTGAAGGAGAAAATTGAACCAGATGGACTAAAAGTCTAGGAATTTCAAAAGTGAATCCTATTTTGTTTCTCTGTCAATTATTTAATTATCGTGGCCTACCAGCATACTGTGTATTAGGCATATTTGTAAAGCACTGTATAAATATCACAGCTGAATATAGAACTTGTCTTAAGGGAAGTTCTAATGTCATGACATCTTTTGGTTCAGAATCAGAGAAAAGTGTCAAATTTCCATGCTGAAGGACATGTCCAGGAAAAGTGATTAGCAGTGTCAGTGTCTTGGAAGCTAGTGGCAGATGGAGTCTTCCGACAGTGTGTCAAGAAACATGTGGATGCAACAAGTGTGTGTATGTGCATGTTGGGGCAAAGAGTAGCGCAGGGAAGCTGTGTTTCCCGAGACATATTGGAGCTGCTTCTTCTGGTTGAGGTCTGTGGTGTTTCTCGAGCAATAGAGGAAGGTGTGAAACATTGTAAGCATGAGGAAAAGTGTATTTTAATTAAGAACAGAGCTAAGAAGGCCTGGAACAAGGTGCCATGTGGAATTGTGTGGTTTCAGGTGGGAGCAGGGTTTAGTCTTGAATCTGACCCAGAATTTTTTATTTGCATTACTAGAAGGAAAGCTGATTTTTTTATGATGACCCTTGTTTTTTCAAGAGGAAGTCACAGTTTCAGAACAGTTTGAAGGTGTCTTGTGAGCGCCTTGGTGCAGTAGCAGTGTCAAAGTGGTTATAGGAATACATTTAATTATATGCTACATTTAATTATAATCTTCACTTACAACCATAATTTGTGCACCTTAATTACCACATTTGCTGTTGGTTTGTGCTCTTGTTGGGTTAGTGATGGAAGAGATCTTGCAGTCCAGAACCATGTGATGAAGATGATGACAATGATGAAAGTGACATCAGCTGATTGGCAACTCAGGTTGTTAGTCATTAACAGTCACCATGACCAGGATCATTGCATGCAAGGCTGAGACTGCTCCTTCCCTTGACACTTGTGCTCGGTCATGGGGCAGGGCTTTGCGGGAGAGCTTTCGCTATTAGTACCACCCAAGGTTTGCTGGGTAGGAGCAGTGGCCGTGTTTGCCAATCTTAGATCTATCTTGCCCGATGTAACCATCTGCGTGAGCCGAGAGATGGGATTTACAGTGTTCTTGACGTTATATGCTTTGTGGATACAAGTTCCCTGCTTCCCTCCCGTGCCCCTGCTCTGACATAGCAGTGCTTAAGGAAGCTGTGGATGCCTCTTGGATCTCCAGGCTTCTTAAGGCGAGTCTTGGTAAATTAAAAGGAGTCCTTGATATGCCTCTTTGCTATTTTTGTTTTAAGTCCACTATTCTTTCTAGAAGCAGATCGCAGGGAATCTACTGTTCGAAGTGTCCTCAGCCTTGTCCTGTAATGCAAGCGCTGATGACTGCAGGGCCAGGCAGAGAGCTGGGAGAGAGGGACAGCAAGCAGGGCTTTCTCTTGGCTTCATTTGTGCGGGCCTTTAAAAGCTGGTGGCAAGAAGCGTTTGCAATTTTTGTGTTGAATAGGGAGTTAGTACTGAGTGGAAAGCTTTAAAATCTCAAAAAAAAAAAAAGAAAAAACTTAGGTCAGTGCCTACACACAGTATCTCCTCTTAGAGGAGAGTGTAATTACTGGGAGTACTTACCAGTAAACCCAAAAGCCCTACGTTGTTGAAGGCAGCTCTCCAAGTATTCTTAATGGGACTTCAGTGCCTGCTGTTGAAACCCATGTCAACATGAACACTCTTACTATAGCACTTACAGGTGTATGGATGTCTGCAGAGAAAATAAAACTGCAGAAATAAGTTTCAAAAAAACTTTTTAACAAAAGGAAAGCGTAATTCAATTTCTTTTCCCTTGGAGAAGACATCCCTCCTCCAGCAGCTTGTGTTCCCCCTATGCTGCATTCCCCGGAAGCCTCTGTCACGCTTACGGTGTGACTTGGCTCTGGGCAGTGCCATTTTGTCCCACATAACCTTTTTGACAGGCTCCAGACTTCCTTGTGGCAGTGTGGCAGTTTGAGCCATCTCACCTTTTCTCCAAATACCTTTGTGCCATGCTGCAGAGGGTCAGGTTTGGCACCTTGGGATTAAACAGCTCCCAAGTTTCTTTACACATTAAAGTGCTTGTGATTGCTTTGCGCTTCCTGGGCAACAGAATGCACAATAGTGGTGTAGCACTCACCTGCGGGTCTATTTATAGACTCTGGGCTTTCCCTAATTGCTAGATCCCAGCTTTTGGTAAGTCCGGCCTTTCCGGGCATCATGCGGCTATGGGGGCTGGCTCGCGCCGCGCTGCAGGCAGCTGCCCGTTAACATTCCTGCACCAAAGGCAGTGCCGCTTCCAGCCGGAGCCCACGTGGCCCTGCTCTTCCCTTACTAATGAGCTAGGGAGATTGGAAAACTGCTCCACAGAGGTTGTGCAACCGGCAACGAGCTTTGCCAAAGGCAGAGCTGAGGATGTCTGTAATTACAGGTAGATGCCAGTCTGTCCATCAGCATACAAGCTCCCTCAAGTAGAGGCTGGAGGAAGGAGCGAACTGTCATACAGAATGCGGAGCTGAAAGGGATGAAAGAAAACTCGAAAAGCTAATAGCAGGAACATGAAAACAAATTCCCTTTCCATTATATTGAAAGCAGGAAGGTTTAATCTGATCTCTAAACAACAGCAGAGCAGTTAAGGCTAATAACACAGAGAAGCCAGAGGACTTCCTGGCATCATTGCTTGCTACAGATGAGGATTAGAATTTAACAACAAACAAAGATTGTAAACCCTAATGGACTCAGTGGCAAGTGTTTCTCCTTGAACCTTTTAAAAGAAGAGGCTGCAGTGTTTGGGCTTCAAGTAGGATTGTCACATGTGGATTGGACTTTTTTTGAAGGAGTGTGCAATGGCTGCTTTATGCTTTGGGTTGGTTTTTTTTTTCCCAAGTTTAAGATGAGCACTCCAAGAAGTCTATAATCTGAGATTGCAGTGCTAGTAAAATTGTTCCTCCTCCTCCCTCCTCAGGCATTGAACACTTAAACAAGCCAGGACACTTTATGATCAATTAGAGGGATAACTTGGCTGTCTGTCCTTGTGCTCCCCATCTCCAGAACGAGTTCTGATGCCCCAGGCTGTGACTGATTTTGCTGAGTGCAAAATTCTGCTTTATATCTCTGTCTTGCCAGTGTAGCTCACTGTTGTGCAAAGCATTTCAGGGATAAAGAAGTGGCATGAAATATGTTATGTGAAGAAACTTAGAGCAATGCAAGATGTTCTCACTTGGGCTGCTGGCCTTTAGCTGTGAGCAAAGGCCCTACACACAGTAATAGTAATTTGCTTTAATCCTTCTGTTGTTGCACAGGCCTTTATCCCACCATCAACTGAGCGAATCTGATTGTTTCAGGAGCACATTAAGCAGCTCAGTTAGCATTGTGGGACCTGTTAGCAGTTGTATTTCCAAAGCACCGAGGGACATTGATGAGTTGGACCCACTGGCAAGGGCAGCACACTCAGTATTGCTGCCCTGTTGGCTGGCGTAGCACTAGGTGGTTGTCCACCAAGAGGGGAGGAAGAAGAGGAAGCAATCCCATGCTGCAAGTCCGTGAGGTGGGCATTGGTTCCTTTCCCACCTGAGTTTCCTCTGCGGGGAATGTTGTGGGCCCTGTTGAGAAGCAGCATGGCAAAATAAACCTTTGGATGAGAAACTTTCCAGTTCTCAAGGAAGTTTGTCCTGCAGCCTGACCTAAAAGCTATTTCCATGCAGATAAGTTTGGTCAGGGCCCATGATATGGACCCCAAAATCTGTGAGGTGCCGGTGCCAAGTAGGGTGAGGAGGCGGCTGTTGTCCTCAGAGATGTCCCAGAGTCCAGACAGGAGGTGACAGCAGCTCGAAAGCTGCCAGGAAGGAGCAGTGTCCTGGTGAACCGTCCTGTGATTATCGCACACACAACAGTTTTTTGGAAGGAAGTTTTCTTCAGCTGGGCTAAAGACTATTGATGGAGTGCACTTATGCAGCCATTAAAAAATATAAATAACACCTGCAAGTAGGGACACTGTAAAATTTAAAGCAATGTCAGAAAGGGCAGCTATTCTGTAGCAAATCATAAATCCTCTGTAAAACGCTTCCAGCAAGGAGTGTTGTACTTCTTTCCAGCTTCTGTTGAGGTGGCAGTAGCCCTCCATTGTGAGATGCTGTATAATGCTGCAGACCCTGGGACAAAAGGTTATGTGTTCCCTCAACAGAGCTCACCCTTGCATTATTTTTTTAAGCTAGTTCAAGCTGACTTTGAAATGGGTCGTTGTTGATCTCTGGGATGAGCACATTAATGAACAGGATAACCTGGAGTCTAAAATCAATGAATGCAGGTTACCCAGGGCTTGCAAGTTAGAAAGTGTTGGAATGAGGTTGATTAGATAAAGGAGTGG